TGGATGGATGGATGGATGGATGGATGGATGGATGGATGGATGGATGGATGGATGGGTGGATGGATGGACATATTATCAGATTGTTTGTTTGGTGTGTTAAATATTTTAACTCATTCATTAATTTGATGTTTGGTTGGTTGGCTGGATGGTGAAAAGGTTGACTGACTGATTGGTTGGAGTTGAGACATTGATTTTCAAACTTTAATTTGTTGATCTTCTTAGAAATTCTTTCGTCACTTGATTTCGAGATTAATGATTCAGCAGAATGAATTTCTCAAGTGCCCCTGGCACCCTCCAATTTCTCTTTCAATCTGAAGAATCTTTTCTTTCTTCTTTTGATCACTGAAGAGGAATACGTTTGTTTCTTTAGTGATGTATCATTCCATTATCTTTTTTTAAAATATGTGTGCTGATAATGCCTCTTGACGTTTACCAAAATGATACGATTTGTTTATTTATTGTCCCTGAGTCTTTACCACTGTTCTAAATTTCAGAATTTGTGAAAATGATGACTGGCAATTAATTGGAACCAGAGTTGTGGCAATGGAACAGAACAAGATACTCTGCGATACAAACCACTGTACAGATCGATGCTGAGGTATCGCGTCACTCCTGCCTGGGCCTCGTGATGCTGCCTGGTGCGGGCTCGCTCCTCAGACTTAATTTAATGTGGAGTCGAAAGCCGCGCGTGGCGGTGTTGTTTTTATAGTTTCATTTGTTTGTTCCCTCTTTTTCTACGGTCTTTAGAACTATTTTCGATTTGTATTCACCACCCTACCACACTATATGCCGAAGGTCCAGGAAGTTGTCTCACTAATAAGTCTATCCACAATGTTTGGATCGGATGCGGGAACAACTTTACTTTACTTTTATTCACCAAGACTGTTCCAGTGTATTCTTCAGGAGTTAACCAGCGCTGTTGTAATATTATTGTTATGCAATAGAATTAGATAGGACAAGTCTTGTAATCCTGAATCGTCTACAGAGACGTCGCTGTAAAAAAAAATTAAGTAAAATTTAAGAAATAAGGTCGATGGCAGCTGCAGATCAAGATCATAATCATTGTTCCTAAGTTGTTTGCTATTTAGAGCTTTCATTATGGTTGCCTTTTTCCAACAAAAGGCGAGGGTAACAGACTCAATCATAGGAACACCTTCAAATTAGGATCAATGAATACGCATACATAGCCTATATACACTGTTTTAATATCTGTTTGGTTCTTGTTTTTGTTGTTCAACGATAGCATGGTCAAAACTGTTACACACAATGTGTTATGTCAATATAAGTAACAATGTTTTGCTGGGGGGGTTCAGCTTATAATAATAAAAATAAAAAGCATTTGTTTAGCGCATACCCCCGCTCAACAGCAAGCTCTATGCGTTTTACACTAAATTGTAACCCCAACTTATGATGTTCACTGGGAATACCTCATAATCTCTATTTTGACTTATATATCATATTATATGTTATTTATTATTTTGTTTTTGTTTCACTTATGGTGATGATGCGGTGGGGTTTTCTGTGAGAATACGTATAGTGAATAGTGGCATAACTGGGGTAAGAGAGTCAATTTCCATAAATTCTGTTATCATGGCATAATATGATTGCGCTTCTTTCATTCTCTCCGTATTTCTCAATGCTTTCTTTTCCTTGTGTTCAGCAACTATGGTGGACCCTTCTGAATAAAAGTAGTGTACCTTCATAAGAGCTGATACTTCCATAATAGTTTAATTTAGTCGTGTACGTTTTAGAAAATGAAACTGAACTTCTCAAATAAAGCATTTAGAAGTGTAGTTCATTGGGGAAAAAATGGGTCCTGTAGAGGATGAATAGCCGTTTATTCCTGACAGGAGAATGTGTTTTAATGAGCAATTAAGCGACTGTTGTGACTAATCATGTCTTTAGTAAGGTTGTGCGCAGATTTCATTACAGTTTAAAGCTACATTGCATGCTTAACTCGCCTTGGGTCATTCAGAGAGTGTTTAGTGAGTGAAGACTTGCGTGTTGATTGCACTACTGTGCAATTTTATACTTCCCACTTATACAAGAATTAAATGGTCGACAGTAAAATGGAAACGTGCACCATTCGATGAAAACATCAGGCTAAAAATAACGATCTTTTAAAAAAGGATAAATATAGAAAGGACTCATGCGCCCAACTGTTATATATTTCTCCTTCTTCCTTTCCGTCTCATTCAAAGTAAAATGTTTACGTAATCTGAGACGTATGCCAAAGATCATGAACGCTTCAGATTTATCTTGTTTCATTGCTTATACAACTCACTGACTTTCATCTCCTTTTATCACCTTCATTTGTTTCTCAAATCTCAAGTTCATGGAATAAATGTTCAGTCAGAAATAAAGTGTATCATGTTAGTAGTCATTGAGTTTTTTTGCATTATTTCTGTTTTGAGAGATATCCAGAAAGTAAGTGTCGTTTATATACCGTTGTCATTGTTGAAAAGTATCGCTTAAACAAACGTATTGAAAGCAATTTTGAAGATGGTGCATTTGTTATTAGGACAGAGAATCGATATCTTTAAAAGGTCGCTATAAAAAAAGACACAAACGTTTTCTGGATACAATTTAGATTATAATTTAGGAGATGAGCTTCTAAACCTGCCTGTCAGAAAGTTCAAGATTCTCAATAGAACGTCTCCCCACACGGGAATCGAACTCGGGTCTCCTGTGTGCGACAGAGAAGCACCTAACCATTGCACCACAGGCACAGGTATGTTTGGGTTGGTAGTCGGCCCTCTCGGAGATGGAATTGAATCGGGACTATTGTCTCTTCAAAGACCTTTACTGAGTTAAAAGGAACGCAAAATTCAATTTAAACAACCAATTAGTATTAACTATCCGTGTTGGTGAAATAGGAAGTGTGCTGGGTGGCTGTGTGCTGGGTGGTTGGAAGGTGTTACATGACTCCAGTCCCTGCGTAATTCACATTCCTGGGGGGGGGGGGTTGTTGTTGTTTTGTGTGTGTGTGTGTGTGTGTGTGTGTGTGTGTGTATGTGTGTGTACATGTATGTGTGTGTGTATATGTATGTGTGTATGTGTGTGTGTGTGTGTGTGTGTGTGTGTGTGTGTGTGTGTGTGTGTGTGTGTGTGTGTGTGTGTGTGTGTGTGTTTGAATTGGTTGATCTGCGTGAACATTGGGAGGTTGGCGTGCTCTACGGTGCGGTTTGCTCCTTCCTTCCTTTCAAACATATGTCGTCCATTTCTCTCCTTCTTTTCTTTGTATGTTACCTCTTTGTAACACCTCTAATCTTCAGCACTAATATGCCCTACTTGTGTTGCAAAAGCAGTAAAACTTGGAGAGTGAGAAACTTCAGGATTTGATTTGAGTCGCAGAATTTCCTTGTCCTTGTGTTATTCAAATCTGAATCCTGCTGCGCCACAGTACATACGTTAAGTCCACGTTTTGCGTGGTATTAAAATTTGTAATCTGTTTTCCTATTTGTCTGAAAATATGGTAATAAAACATTATTCATTGCAGAGTCAGGGTCAAGAATAATATTTTCCATTCATTTGTTACACAATACTTGTCCAGTTCACCAATGTTGCAACACTCCAACATAAGCGCCTACACACTTTTACATTTCTTCAATTTCACAAATTTTTGACAAGCACAATTTTTTAAGGTCAATATTGAGTGACCATATCTAGAGCGACTCCTATTGTCGTAGAAAAATTAATGTGGCAGATAATGCAGAATTTTAGCTTTAAATTGGTATGTTGCAAGAGTGGTTAGTGCAAGGCTTTCACACGATGAGTGGGTAAATTTATACATTTTCAAGTTTCCTTTGGACGCCACTGTTATATCCCTCTTATTATCTACCTGTATCCTCCCCTTTCTCTCTCTCTCTCTCTCTCTCTCTCTCTCTCTCTCTCTCTCTATCTCTCTCTCCCTCCCTCCCCCGTCTTTTCTCAGTTATATATGTGAATAACGTCATAAAAAAGCTCTGTTGTCTGGTCATGATACCCATTACCTGCCTGCATCATTATGACCCATGTCTACACGCCTCGTCAGTCGCCTTTATTTCTTTGTATCGTTTGGCCTGTGGAGAACCTGGTACGATACTCTCGATCTTTGCGGTCAGCCGTCTTTCTACCTGTTATTTGGTATGAGCTTGCAGTTTTTCTTCGGTAGCCTACTATCAGAGAATGCGTTATGTTCAAAGACTCTTCCAAATCAGAGCAGAACAATTTTGGCTTGGGAAATGGATTTTAAGAAGAAATAAAAGATGGCTGGACTTTAAGGCAAGAACGAAAAGACTGGAACCAATTAGACGTCTCCTCCCCTAAGATAAACAATTATGTTAACAGACCAGCTCCTCAAGCGCAGTTGTAGCCTACACGGTGAAAAGCATCTAACGCCAAAAGCCGTTACACCTGTTTTAGAAACGATTTGCATTTCACTAAAGAGTCACAAGGAAAACCTTTTTATTTATAAGTTCATAAGCCTGTTCTGAATTAGATTAGAAAGGGGGGGGGGGGAGGCTGCTGTTGGGGTGTGTTGTTTTTTTGGGGGGGGGTTCTTATCCTCTTCACTTTTCATGGCCTAGCTGGAATCAAGCCGTCGTTCAAACTAATTTTTTTTCTGTTGCTGGTTTTTTTTTTCTCCAACAGAATCGTTTATACGTGGCTCCAGAGCAAGTGAAAAAGACATGAAGGAAATGCCACCAGCTAATTTATACCCTTGATCCGCCACTCAACTGATATATTTCTAGCACTTTCGGGACGCCGCTGTGTAAACACTGTGTCGGGCACGGGGGCAAGGGTCAACATGTACAGATATTTCAACCACAAGAAAGTCAGGAGAATTTCAGTAGCTTTATTATCAGTTTCAAGGAAAGGAAAGAAAAAGGAAGAACATGTCTGATTGACGAAAATAATGGTGTAATGTTGTTGTTGTTGTTTTTTTGTCAAAATTGGAAGAATAAATATAGCTTTGTACTTGTGATGAGTGTAGTGAAAGTACACAAAAATATACATATAAATAGTTAATAAGACTCACACGGGAAAACGTTGTAAGCACCTTTAAACAACATAGTTGAGGTATCAAAAGCATCTTTCAAACACTTATACACCTAAATGCCAATTAATTGTCACATTTTGCTCTACTCTCGCACACACTCACACTCCATGAATTCCGTCATCCCACGGAGACAATGTACCTGAATCTGAGATGTAATAGTTTTAATTCTTTCAACCGTTGCATGAACAATCTTAAACGACATTGGTTCGATTGCAGTGTGAGAAAGTCATTCACTCAAGTATCTCCAGCTTCCCGCAGGGATACTGTATCTCATTCAGCACGGTCTCGTCCTGAGAGACGGAGCTGAAGTACCCGACTCGTCAATAAAGTACATTGTATCCTATTATAAATGATGTATACAATTTTATTTAACCACATTTTTACATCCGCGCTCGATGATCAATGAGCAACTCCGTCAACAGTCATAAGCTACGAAGCAATCAAACACCCTCTTACAGACCAAGGAATCACAAACATTTTAAGCAGCAACAACATTATTTAACTCACACAATGACGCGAAAAGAGATCAACTCAACAAACTAACTGAGGAGTGATAAAGACAAAAGCTGTTTGGACTTATATTATACTCAGGATGATTTCTGCCTGTGGCTGTGCATCATTGACCTAATCATTGATTTGGCAGCTTATAGAGATATGAAAGTTCGACGTCTGAATGGGAGAAGGACCAGAATGCAAGAAAAACAATTGGGCAATTACTCTTCCAAACGCCTACTAAAAATCGGTTTCTGAATATTTGTTGGGGTTTTTCTTTTAAGCTGACACTTTGGCTTTTAATTATGTATTCAACTGATGCTCCTTTTAAAATAGACAAAACCACAATCGAAAAAAAACTGCAAATAGCTATGTTATCCACGACACAAAAAGTTTACTCATAAATAACGAACAATCAAATCCATTAATTTATCATCGCGCTCCACCGCTCCGAAGAAGTACTCCTGGGCCTATTCACAATAATAGATTCTATACCTCACACTGTAAAACAATTTTTCTTCTTCTCTGAACTTCAAACATGCCTTTCAGTCAAATCAACAAGTGCAGATATTGCGAAAAATACGTTCAGCTTCAACAGGTACTCCAGTCCTCTTTCCAGACGAAAAGAGGGGGAAAAAAGAAAAACAAATTGAAACCACATTACAAGAGAGTTTGAGCTGCGGGACAGAATGCTTCTCGCTGCTCCTTGCTTGCAATACCACCACCAAGGTTGCATCCCATTCTCTAGCGTGACAGACAACAGAAATAGCATGTAACCTGGCACCCAAGCAGTCGAGCGTACTCCTAACTCGAGATCTTCTTGTTATATTGACGGCACGGACGATGAATGCCGAGTAACAGTAAGGCACATTTATCTCTCCTGATTTTGATGATTCAACAGTCAGAGTAAAAATCTCACTGAGTCAAGTCGCCAAACACGTTTTGGTTTCGTTGAAGACAACACATTGGTAGTTGTGACGGATGTTGCACACGGGGTTAAGGCGACGCAAATACACGATCTGTCCATCCAACGACGATTCACTCGCTCCAGGAAATGATTTCACACAGCTTTCACTTCGTTGTCATCATGCGAACAAATTCTGAAAAGAGATACATGTTAGGTATTGGCAAACTGAACTCAGTTTTTAAGTTGCACTGTTTTCCTTTCTGTCTATCACTTTCTCTCTCTCTCTCTCTCTCTCTCTCTCTCTCTCTCTCTCTCTCTCTCTCTCTCTCTCTCTCTCTCTCGTGTTAAACACTATGCAAATCTCCAATGTCGATAACATTAAGGTGAGTTAACAAAGACCTTTCGTTATCAAATTACTTTTTCGCTTGCGAATTGAAGCTCTTAACACCAGCACTATCCAAATGCCAGCCAACTCTCATTATGTCACGTATATTACTTTATGAAGTTGTTTCTGCCTTCACTCCTTTCTTCTTCTTCACTCTTTGTTTTAACAACTGAGCAACATGCTACACCTTCTAAGTGATTTATTTGGGATAAGTGATAAGTGGACTACCACTTCAAAAGTTAGAAAATTGAACCATCACAGAAGAGCAAAAGAAATCATAATATAAAAAGATGAAATTATTGATATGGTGAAACAGTGACAAGTAAGCCTAAAATTCGCAATCGGATAATAACAAACATTTTTGGGGGAAATGGACGAGAGTAAAGAATAGGATCCCAAAGTTAAAAACCGTGCAACCGACACAAAGGATAAGAGGACTAGAATAATTTATTGTGTGCTCCTAAAGACACAAAACGCTTCTTGTCGAGGAAGCAGCACAGTAGGTTCATTTAAGGGGACAAAGTGTAAGAAAAGAGACAAAAACATTACGACACACAAGATCAAAAGCGTTTCTTATCTGAGTATAAATCATCTGTATTTTTGTATTTTTGTCGTATTCGTAACCAACTACGCAATAGAAACCAGCAGCCGTAAGAGGTAAGATAATACACGGTCAAACCTGCTCTAAAGGTCACATGTATAAATCAAACACCTGTTCAAACGGCCACTTCCCATTTCCTCTCTCTTTCATTAATTTTTACATTATAATGACTTTTTGTGAGATTGCCACCTGTATAATACGGCCAATTTTCTACAAAGACAAAGGATGGCCGTCTTAGACTGTTTCGACAGTATTTGCTATTCACTGGTAACTCTTTACTGTTTGTACAGACCTTCATAGTTGACCTGTCCATCCCCATCCATGTCCGCCTCCCGGATCATCTCATCCACCTCCTCGTCCGTCAACTTCTCACCCAGATTCGTCATCACGTGACGTAGTTCGGCAGCAGAAATAAAACCGTTACCGTCCTTGTCGAAGACTCGGAACGCTTCTCTCAATTCTTCCTCCGAGTCTGTGTCTTTGATCTTTCTGGCCATCATTGTGAGGAACTCGGGGAAGTCGATGGTGCCGTTGCCTGAGAGTTAAGAGAAGAAAACATGATCCCTTTTCTATCAAACTCACGTTTTCAGTACTGTTTGGTTGTTTAAAACACCTCACATATTGCTACTTCCGAAGTACAAAGTTCTATACCCAGTTTTGAGTAATTTGATGTCAATTTTGTTTTAGTTTCACAATATGTCAAGCTTTTTCGAAAGCAATTCTTTGATTATTTTGATAACGACTCCGAATATTCTTACTATTTTCAGAGAACAGAGAGAGCATTAATTGCTTTCTAACCTCATGGTCATAGTAACTCCAAACGGCCAAAAATGCCAGATAGAACTGTGTAAGGTAATGATATAAAGCCTAAATAAACTAGCGGGTGGAGGCCAGACGCCATGTGCAAACGTAGGCCTTGCTTTTGTGGTTTCTTTTTTATGCAGGTGTTTCTAGGCCCCAATAGATACAAGGTTTTATTCATGTTTCCCACAAAATGTAATGCAAGATATGTATTTATTCGATTGCTTTTAAGGAAAGTGTTTTAAACATTCTTACTCTTAACCCAACTACAGTTTGACTCCATACCTTGAGAGGGTCAGTATAAATTGTTTTAGCCCCAAGAAGAAACACGTTCTTTTCTTGTATAATGTGTTCGTTAACGGGGCACACAGCAAAGATTGAACCTTTTTTAGGCGTTAATTAAGATTGTTTCCAGGTTCAAATCCTGACAGCAACGGAAATTTTCTTCTTGAAAAAAAAATTATCCTTTCACCTTCCCTGCTCTCTAATCATATTTTATTGTCTACTTTCGTCTCCATTTTCTTCTCCCCTGTCCCCCCTCTGCCCCCCCCCCCCCCCCCCCCCCCACCCCCCACCTCATCTGGACTCCTGAATCTTTCAACTGCCTTTCTACTGCTACTCCTTCCTACTGCTGTCTGTCAGCCATACCACTGATCTTAGGGTAGATAAGATCTAACACCAAGCCTTTTCGGATTAGTTGCGCACGATCAGAATCCCTTGGTATTCCAAAATCGATAAATTTAGGCTTCAGTCTCCATCCAGGCAAAATTCCAAAAGTTATTCCTACCAAATTGAAAATGCTTGTTGTGTACCGTGCGCTCATATGACTTTCTGCACTTGCAAGCGCAGTAAAACGCTTATTTAAGAAAAGAAAAAGATCGAACCCTCTTGTGGCGTTAAAATTGTTTGAAGTTCCGTTGTAAGTCACAGTGTATTACTGCTTGGGTGAACATTCGGAAGACGTGGCTAAAAATACACTAACCGTTGGTGTCCACCTCGTTGATCAGGTCCTGTAGCTCGGCTTCTGTGAAGTTCTGTCCCTTCCTTCCTCTCCCTTCCTTCCTCTTCCTTCCTCCCTCCCTCCCTCTCTCCATCCCTCTCCCTCCCCCTCACCCACTCACCGTCAGCGTCCACCTCGTTGATCATGTCCTGTAGCTCGGCCTCTGTGGGGTTCTGTCCCAGGGATCTCATGACTGTGCCCAGCTCTTTGGTGGTGATGGTGCCGTCGCCATCTTTGTCGAACAGGCTGAACGCCTCTTTGAACTCTGGGAAGATGAAAAAGACATACCGTGACGTTAGGACAATCATTCACATTGACCCGACAAAACATCGTTAGGAGGGAAGTTAGCTGGTTGGCGTCGGAAAATTTGCTTGTGTTTTCAGAGTTTAGTGTTACACATTATTACGCGCTTAGTGTCTGACTCTCTCTCTCTCTCTCTCTCTCT